AAGATACAGAGCTTTGATTATACTGCTGCAGGTTTCCCAATGACTGGGGTAGGCAGCAGTTATCTAGCTCTCACTCCTTCTTCTCCAAGCATCCCTGTCAAGCAAGCTAATGTGGGCAAGGCCACAATCCCGCACGTCTTTCCCAATGCAGTCCTTCCACATCTTCCTAGGTCTATGTTGACCAGAAACCCTGGACTTTGAGTTAGTCCTAATTTTTTTTTTTTTAAGAAAATCACCCCAAGCAAGGCGGGAGTGTCACTAGCATGCAAGGTGTTACAGAGAGTGAGAGTAAAGAGGAGTGTTTGGGAAAAGGATAAAGAGAAGGACAGGTATCAAGGTCAAGGCATCAGAAGATGTCGATTGACATTACATTTGAATATTTGAAGATCATAGCTATTAAGGAAGCAAATAAGAGGAAGGTAGTTCCACTGATAGGAGGTGTGAGATAAGAAGCTGTTGGAGTAGAAAAGATGGCTACATTTAGCAGTTTCAACAGTGAAAAGGTGGGACCAAGATGCCAACCTAGTAGCATGCTTAAATTCATGCAGTTTGGGAACCAGTGAAAGTAGCTCGTCAGAGCATTTGCCATGAAAGTATTTATATAAAACTACAGCACATCTGTGAGATAGCAACTGCAGACGGGATGCCAGATCAGTACCAACCATGTTGCATATCCATCTCTGGATTTTGTTGAGGACCTTAAGATGAACAGCGGGAACAGCAGACCATATATTGCAGCAGTATTCCATGCAAGGATGAATGGTTGATTTGAACATTTAAAGGATGGACTCAGAGCTCATTGATAAAAATCTAATATTAATTAAAGGTTTCTAATTATGACCCATTAATGCCCAGGGTTACCAAAAATGGGATTGTGAGCATTAATGAGTTATTAAAATAAGTGAATGTGTATAAAAATTTTGAGAAAGACAAAATATATAAATAAGTCGTTTTTTTTTTTTTTTTTTTTAGTCATTTCACTCAAAGCAAAGTGATAATGCCACTAAGGCAAAAGAGAATAGTGGGAGTGGAAGAGAATGAGAAGATTTTAGTGAGGAGAAAGGACTATAAAAGAACAGAATTCAGGCAGACAGAAAATGGCAATTGATGTTGAAATTAAATTTTTGAAAATCATAGGTGGCAGTTAGCAAGATACCAGGAGAAAGTTCCACAGGCAAGAAGTGCAGGAAAAGAACCTATTAGAATAGAATGCATAGTTAACATTTAGTTAGTTCAACAGCAAAACCATTAGACCTAGTTGCTAATCTAGTAGTATGCTTAAATTCATGTATCCAAAGCACCAAAGAAGAAAGCTCATCACAAAAATTGCCATGAAAAATGACGTTTTTTGATCATTTCACACCAAGTAAGGCAATAAAGCCACTAAGATGCAAGGGATTACAGAGTGTGAAACGATAGGAGAAAAAACACTATTATCGAAAGGGAATAATAAAAGAAGATGAATTAAGAAAACAGAAGATAATGATTGTGTGACAGTGGGACATCATGGAGTTAGTTGGGAAGAAAGAAAAAGAAAAGAGACTACTAAATGGATGATAATTGTTGAAATTTTCAGGAAAGTGGATTGAAAAGTTGAAAAGAAAATTAAAAATGAAATGAGTTAAAAGTTATGTTTTAAGATAATAAAATGGAATCAAGAACAGTTCTAAGGCGAATCAAAGACGGAATTCATCAAGATTGAGCTAAACCAAGGCTACAAGTCCTTCTCCACTTCCCAGTGATAAGTAAGAGACATTTAATGTTGGTCTTGGAAAATCGAAAAAATATGTTGTCAATAAAGTAAAATGGGTGGTCACCAAAATAACATCTGTTCAGCTGTTCAAGACAAAATACCAGGAAAAACATCTGATTTGTATTGGCCACCCAGAAGAAAAATATCTCTACAAAAATAAAGATTAGCGCCTAAGATCGGAAATAGATTTGATTTATTTTAATTTCTGTGACATTCATCAAAATTTTTATAGCCAATATTATTTTGGATTTTTTTGGAGCCAAGCTGATAAAGAAAGATTAATTACTAGCTTAGAGTGATCATAGGCAATGGGCTGTGTAGTCTTGTTAAATGAGAAATACAGAAAAAAAAAATTTTTTTTTAATTTTTTATTACTAGAGATAATGAGGATATTTTTCGTCCATTTCTTTCTCACCCATAATGATTGTGGATGAACAGAACAATTCTTGAGACTGGATGGCCCCTCTGCCAGCCAGATTGGCTGTGATTATCTTAGATATGGTCAAGTCCCTGGCTTTGGGAAATCACTTAAAAAAAATCAGTGTGAGACTAACTGATAATGAAACATTAATTACTGGAAATCCCCTTTTCAACTACGCCTTCTAAAAGTTTAAATTTGTTGTACAAGCCTTTGGAAATGGGCTTAGGCTGGATGCTGAGAAGGTGGGAGAAGGGAGATAGAGATTAGCACTGCCTATATGGAAAAATAGTGCAAGATGAAAAGTGAAGGGAGTTGGAGTTAAGGGGCAGCTTGATTCCTCCGACCCCTCTCAAAAGGGGGCTGGACAACCCCTAAATTTGGAAAATTACTCCAGTAAACATATTTTGAAAATATGAGAGTTTAGATAAAAGTTGATGGTAAGGGTAGGAGATAACTGAACCCCAGACCCTGGTCAATGCAGGGCTCCATGTAAGACATAGCATTAAAAGAAAAAAATGCATCAGTATTATTTTATTTAGATGCTCTGAGAGGAGACAATTTTGAAGAATTCTAAAGTTTTATATGTACTTGCCTGTTTCTTAAAACCAGAAACATTTATTTTCCCTTGATTAGAGACAAATTTAATTAAATTATAAAGTTCACAGAAAGTAAACAGAGAATAATGACTAAAATCTTAATGTTTCAAGTCAAAGTTTTAAAAACTTTGGGACTCTTCAGTAAGCATGCATGATGGTAGGTAAAAAGTCTTTTCTTTTTTTTTTTCCAATTCCTTTAAGTGGTGCTGAAATTGGTTATGGTGTGCAATTTTTTTTTTTTTACTTTTCTCCCCCTAAAATTTCCACAAGCAATAGGAATTATACTGAAGTATTTATGTCTGAAATACATTGAACATAAATTTTAATTAAACACTGGCAGCTGCTTGGAAAAATGATCTACAATCATGTGTTAACTGGAGCAAGAAATGGCTTGTAAATTTTAATGCTTCCAAAACAAAACTGCTATCTTTTAATTATCATAGAGAACTATTTTTGACTAACGTCAGTTCAGGTTTCCTGGGGAAGGACTGTATTGAGAGAGCTGTGTGGGGTACAGCCTTGCCCACATTAGTCCCCTTGACAGGGGTAAGAGCTGCCTACCCCTGTCAGCGAGAAACCTGCATTGGTATAATCAAAGCTGCAGATCTTGATTAGTATGGCTGATGCTAACCTTCAGGAGAGCAACTCATTGCGTATTCTTGGTCTCATGTTTTCTACGGACATGAAGTGAAACAATTCTATTGAATCACTTGCTAGGTCCGTTGCTGGGAAAGTTGGACCACAGTGCTGTGCCAGACAATTTTTCTCACCAGAATCTACTTTGCACATTTATAAATCTACCATTGCATTTTGCTGCCATATCTGGTCTGGTGCTCCTGCCATATATCTCAAGATTCATGCCAAAATCCAGTTGAGGCAAATGGGTCACATGGTCTTTTTTGTCGGATTCTGTTATGTGGGGCCTATGTTCATCTGGTTCTGCTTTGATCCTTCACTTCTGACACCATACTTAGTTTTCTACCTGGGTTCAACGTAGAGATGAGACAAGGACAACAGACATATGTACACATGTTTATTGCTAAAAGGGTGGTATAGAAAAAGGAAGAGGGGTTAGTATACTGAACTTAGGAAGTTAATGCTCCTTACTCAAGTGTTTCTATCAAGGGAAATTACCAGGTAACATAACACTAGCCATGGTTGGCAGCCAATCTAGAAAAAGAACAACTCTGAATTTAAAACTTGTTGGACATGAGGCTAATATCTCCCCCATATAAACGTACTTTCAACAGAAACTGCAGCAGTAGTGCCTAGCATGGTGGTGTTGCGGGCCTATACTTTACAATGGAGTCTCAAGGACATATGTATATACATATATTTGAAAACGTAAAAATATATTAAATTATTATTGTGTATAGTATTTATATTACTATCGGTAAAAAAGAAAAATTATTTATGAAAAAAAACTACAGTTCTAATCCAAATTCATCCATGACAATTACTAAGCTAAAAACAGTTTACCTGACAGTTACTGATGTCAGATAACTCAAAATATTTATGTTTTAACAAAATATGATATCTAAATCTTTAAAACAAATGCAAAATAGGTTATTTTTTAATTATTTTTCTACCAAATTAAAAAAAAAAAATAATAATAAATAAATTCATTAACTTTGTTAAAGGTATGACTTTTTATTATTTTACTGAAGTGAAGACAACATGTCAATAAAAAACCTGTTATGTAAGTACAAATTAAAGACACAGTAAAAAATACTTGGGGATGTTTTATCGCTTACATTACTTAAATGAATGAGATGTTCACTGACACTTGTTTTATGAGATGCACCCTGGGTTGTTCAAAATGAAAACATATATATCTGTTCTGGTCTGGTGCTCTTGCCATATATCTCGAGATTCTCGGCAAAATCCAATTGAGGCAAATGGGTCTCATCGTTCTATTCTTGAAATAGCTAGATATAACTAAGTTCTATTCTAATAGTTTCAACCTTTGTACTTCTCACCGGTGGAACTCTATTCCAGTTTCTTGTTTCCCAGCCACCGATGCTCTTCAAATATTTAAATGTAACATCAATTGCCATCTTTTGACTTCCTGAATCCTGTTCTTTTCTGGTCCTTTCTCCTCACTAAAGTCTTTCACTCCCAGTAACCTTTTGCATCTTAGTGGTATTACTGCCTTGCTTGGAGTGAAATGATTACAAAAACAATACAGATTTAGCAACTGAATGTAGATAAAATGACTAAGAGTACTTAC